ATTCTTTTTCTTTTTTTTTCTTTTTGTGGCTGGCCAACATGGATCTGAACCCTTGACCTTGGTGTTAGAACATTATGCTCTAACCAACTGGAGCCTCAAATTCCGTTTTGGGTGTACCACACATCACCAAAACTCCATCTCCCAGAAGAAGGCTAAAGCCTAGATACAGAGCTTGGGTCAGCTCTTCAGGGACCAGGGGAGGCCCGACCCACCCAACTCCTCCTTAGAAATCTAGTGCACCTACCAGGCCCTGCTGCGCAGAACCACTCAATCGTGAAGTTTTTAGAGATCAGTATACTTGCTTGTTGTTTCCACACATAGGTTTTATTTCTCCAGGCCCCTGCTCTCCTCCCTGTGGGTTACTTAGGGGCTGACTGTACTCAGCTATGCAGCCAGCACTGACTTCCAGCTCCACCCTTGCTTTCTCTATGCCTCATGCAATCCTGCTCACATGCAGGGCCCCATCTGCGTGCCATGCATACAGATCATGAAGCCAGCTACTGGCAGGCATACGGGGTCATGTGCACAGCTTCCCATCACCATGGCTGCTGAATGGGACAGCACACCCAGCCCCTGCCAGCCCACACTGACTCACAATCCCACACCCTGTCATGGTGGCAGCACCTACTACCCACTGTGGTTTTCCAACAATTGCCCATGCACACCATCTTACACCAATGCTCAAAAGTAGCACACACCTGAAGTAACTCCCCAAGCATAGACAGGTCCCCATCATGGTCACAGACCACAATAACCCACACATCTCACACAGATGCATGCACACACATGCACACACACATTCACACACCCAGCCAGGCACAGGGACCACACACCCATGTGCACACCCACATGTACACACACACAGCCAGGCACAGGAGACTGATGGAGTTCGGACGTGTTGTTCCCTCCAAAACTCATGTGGAAATTTGACCCCCAATGTGGCAGTGTTGGAAACTGATTGAATCGTGGGGGTGGATACCTCATGAATGGATTAATGCTCTCCCTGGGAGAGGAGGGATTAATGAGTGAGTTCTCACTGGATTAGTTCCCCTGAGAGCTCGTTGCTTAAAAAGACCCTGGCACCTTCTCTCACTCTTGCTTCTTCTCACCATGTGATCTGCCTGTACCTGCTGCCAGCTGCCTGCCACTTTCCACCATGAGTAGAAGCAGCCTGAGGCCCGTGCCAGCTGCAGCTGTCCCAGAATCATAAGTCAAATAAACCTCTCTTCTTTATAAATTACCCAGTCTCGGGTATTCTGTTAAAACAACACAAAACAGACTAAAACAGGGGACCATGCACCCATGTGCACACAAACACAGCCAGGCACAGGACCACACATCCATGTGCACACACACATATTGGAGTGAACAGGACTGAAGCCATGTTGGGACCTAAAACCACCTGGGCTGCTGTATTAGTCCATTTCTGTTACTTATAACAAAATACACAGAACTGGGTAATTTATAAAGAAAATGAAATTTACTGCTTACAGTTTCTGAGGCTAAGAAGTCCAAAGTCCGGGAAACACATCTGGTGAGAGCCTTGGTGGTGATGACAGTGACGGCAGAGTATCACATTGTGAAATAGCGGGGCAGAGAGAGCAAGAGAGAGAGACAGACTCTCCTCTTAAAGCCCTCAGAACCACGCCCCTGACCACCATTTTTAATCCATTCACTATATAGCATGGTCCTAATCCAATCACCTCTTCAAGGATCCACCTTTTAATGACCATCATAGGATTTCCCACCCTCTTAACACTCACAGTGGGGACCACGTTTCTAATACATAAAACTTGGGGAACACATTTCAAGCTTCAGTGAGCTCTGGGGGAACATAATTCCATCCACTACAGCTGCAAAAGGGGGAGAGGGAAGATTTTAAAGAGGACATTTTTTTCTCTACCCTGTTTCTTCCGACCCCCTGACTTTCTTACATTGCTTTGTAAATGTAAGGAAATAGCCTAAGTGATTTCATTTTCAGGAACAGCTTTGCAAAGGGTGTTTAACTGGCTCAACCTGTACCTGGAGAATCCCTGAACGGGCAGCAAGTCACTCTTGAGAAATGACTTCTCAAGATGGTGGTTAGTCACTAGCCCTTTGTTCTCTTCATTTCCTGGTTCTTCTCCCTTCTCAGGGCTTTGGCAGGCCTTTTTTGCAGGCTTATCCTGAGCCATCAGGCAAAGGAATTCCTCACAAGGGGATAATAAATCTTAGGTGAGGTCTGGGAAGACTGTGCATCCTGTAATACTCAGCCAATGAGGAACTGGGGGAGGGACTTGTGCACTAGGGAATAAATTGCTTGCTATAATGGTTCTGTGTGTGCCTGCCCATCAGACACCCGACCTTGCAAGACCATTATTAAAGTCTCATTTTGAAATAGAGCTCCCTACACCCCTATAATGTATGCTATCTGCTTCTGTAGAATTGCTTGCTTAACCTAAGTAACTCCATTTTACCCCCATCTGACCTGCAGACTACCCCCCCACTTCTGCATGAGAAACCGTTGACCTTCTCATAGAAACAAAAGCCGTTGCATAGAAACAGGAGTCATACACAGTAAACTATTACAGGGGAATGGGAACCATACACAATGAACTATTACATGGGAAGATACACAATAAAAAGTTGTATGCTTGATTGCTCTAGCGGCTCATTCTTGGCTTCTGTGACCTAGCTCCCTAGCTTGCTTTGTGCACGTGGACAAACCCATGTGCCAACGGGATGTAGTTTTTGCCTTTAAAAACCCCACAAGACCAAGGCTCAAGGCCACTCTTCCTTGGTTGCTCCTTGGGAGATGGACGCTGGCCAGCTGGAGTGAATAAACTGCTTTTTTCTGCACAAGTGGCGTGTAAGTGCATTTCTTGTGGGAGGGTGCCTCACAACAATTTCACTGTACCTTGTGTCTCCATATCCATTCTTTGGCATTGGATGGGTGAGGTTATTTCTCACACTAACTAGGAGAACAAGGCCGAGAAGCCAATCAGTACTTTACAAAGCTAACAGTTCTTTCTTTGAGACATGTAGAGTTTTGAGAAGTGACCAAGGCCAAATGAAGCTGACCTTGGGCACCAGCCAAGTTATCAGAGTTCTGTGAAGTGAAACTACATAAAAGACTGCAGAAAAGATGATTCTACACTGGAGAAAATCAAAATCTTGCAGAGTCCTGAGATAACAATGAAGATGAAAACAAACCAGATGAGGCCCTGGCGAGACTCTGAACCTGACTCATAGATATGGAGTCCTCCTCGTTCACCCAGCTTGAACCTGCAAAGTTGCACATACTACCCAGACCCTGAGATAAAGACAGTGTTGATGAGACCTTGCACCTGAGACCTTGCATGAAGCCCTTTCTGCTCACATCACCCTCCGTCCTGCTTTTCACCTCCCACATTCCATTCCCTCAGCCCCTCTTAACAGGCCTGGAGAAACTTATGTTGAGTGAAATAAGCAAAGCACAGAGGGATAAATACCACATATACTCGCTCATAAGTGGGAGCTAAGAGAGAACAAAGGAGGCAAAGAAAGACCACAGTGGTGTGTTGGACTTGCAGAGGGAGAGAACATAACTTGGGATACAAAGTGGAGGGGGGGTGGGAGGGATGTTGGGGATAATTGGGTGGGGAACACAGGGTACAAACGCAATTTGTGGTAATGGGCAAGCTGCCAGTATGAATCTGGCCTTCACATCTTGGGCACGAGGGATGACAATCAGCTCTGTATCTCATGAATATTCATAATCAATTTAAAAAAAAAAACCTCAGTCAATCTAAGTTTTTGAGATGGGGTAGCCTACCATCTCCTTCAGCTGAATACATCTGCTTTTCTAACACCAAACAGTTGACTTTTTTTCTTCTTCTGAAGAGGGCAGGCAGCCAGACCAATGATCAGTAACACACACAGCCAGGCACAGGGGACCACACACCCCCATGTACACCCATGTGCACACACAGACAGGCATAGGGGACCATGCACCCACTCATTGGACAAATACAGTTTGCATGCCTGCTATGTGACCCTGGCTTAGTTTACATCAGGCCAAAACCACACCAATGCTGGCAGTGAGACACATGGTCCGACATGTCAGGGGGCACACTCAGGTTTCCCTGAGCCCTTGGCTCTATGGCCCTCCCTGTCGGCTATCCACAGCTCTTCCGTGCCCCTGGCTAAGTTCAATTTGTCCTCAGCCCCACAGCCAGCCCAGCAACTGCCAGTATTCTTCCAGTTAGGAAGAGACACCACCTCTACCACCTGGGGTTCACCAAAATACCCCTCAAATTCCCTTCTTTCTCACACCTCTGCCCACAAGTGCATCTGAAAGTGATTTGGCTCAGGATAACTCTATTGTGAATGTTAATGTGTTTGAAATGATGGGGATGTATGGGCAAACAAGATCAGAGAAGCCTCTGCAGGTGCTGACCGGTTAGCTCTGTTGGTTAGAGCACAGCCTTATAACACCAAGGTCACGGGTTCAGATCCCTGTACTGACCAGCCACCAAAAAAAGTAAAAAGCCTCTGCAGAGCTTCACTCTTTCCCAAACAGGGTGGCCAGCTGGGTGTGGGTCCTGGGCACCACCTGAAAGGGGCACTGAGACATCCCTGGGGCTGCCCATGGTCAATGGATATGTCCCAACACAAACGAGGAGTGTTACTGTGTGTTGTTGAAAAGAGGATATGGTAAATCACTTGCCATGAGAAGTGAGATCCAGGGCAGGCTAAACTGTCTTCTGCAGAGCAAAGCCAGGTAGCCCAGCTTCTCTTGTGTGACTGGGGACCATGGCAGAGAATTGCTAAGGGCAGGACTCCATCAATACCCCCCAGCCTGCCACCCCCATGTACCCTCAGTATCTGCTCCAAAGAAAGGTCAGAGAACCAGGCAAAGAGAGCTGAATGAAGGGCCCCACACCTCATATCTGCTATGCCCAAGGCACTGGGGGCTGTGCCTGTCAACAACACCCCTAGTGCCTCCACCGACCCCCAGCAGCAGGGGGGTGGTGTGGTACTCACGGAGCACACCACCACAAACACAAACAGGCCCGTGATTCTCAGCCACCGCACACAGCGCCTGCAAGAGAAAAGGTGGGTGCTAAGTCACATGGGCTGACAGTTCTATTTTCATGTGCCCAGACTTACCAAACATAACACCTTTCAGAAGCCTTAAGTAATCTCCACCTCAAAACACCTGTATTCTTGAATTCTTTCTGTAACATGGTATGAAGGAGGGTGCTGCTGACCAGTAAATCTACTGCCTCATGAAAAGGAGCTTGGTGGAGGTTACCAGGGGGACCAAGTTAACACCAAGCATTTGCATGTGTCTTCTTACTGAGGAAGCTAAAGATCAGTATTTGAGGCTCTTCACCAGCCTTTTAAAGACTCCAGTTTCCTGGGGGGAAAGGTGAATTGAATGCCTTATCTTGGCTCTCCAATCATATTTATCAATTATTTCCCCTTAAGTTTTTTGGAAAGTGGGAATATGAATTGATCATCAAATATAAAAACACAAATAATTTGAGAAATAAACTGCAGTGCTGTGACTGGTTATACTGGGAGAGCCTTTTAAGAACTCCTTAAGCAATAACAACAGACATTCAGCCATGCACTCAGCCCCCACCAAGGACTTTCCAGCCCAATCTCCATTACCCACTTCTTAACCATGGCCCCCAGACCCAGCCCACAATTTGAGGTCCCTCCAGTCCCATCAGCATCCTTGCTGCTCCCAGACTGGACCACAGGCCTTTACCCCTCTGGGACGCATCCATCTGCGCTCACTCAGCAGCCAGATCCCATCTCCTAATGACAATATCACAGCCAGCCCCAGGGCATGCTCTCCCACCGGCTGCTCCTAGAGGGCAGGCCCCTGGGTGTTTTTGCTCTCCTGGGATGTAACCAGTGCTTGATGCATGTTTGTAGAATGAAGCAAGAAAGTCTGTGTTGGGACATCTTTTTATTACTCTCCTCACTTTGAAAACCTTTCTGATCCTTTGAAAATGGTAAAATCTTGTTTTGCATTCTCTTAGATTTAATGAATTTGAGGAATAATCATTTCATGCTTCCAAATTATGGTTCAGCAGCTCCTACTTAAATGGCAATCAAAATGACACTTCTTTTAAAAGCATGAGGCATTAATTGAGCTCTTCCAAATACAAATTTCTTTCTACATAACTAACATATACAGCAGAGCTGACAATTCAAAATAACATATTTTTACAAGTTTCTTCAGTCATGCATAAAGAATTGCACTAAAGTCCTTCAGTTCAGTGGCAAACTTGAGGCAACTATTTCATGAACCACAGAAGATAAAACAACCACGGAATATAAAGACCTGAATTACTTGATTCTATTTTTCCACACTGTGGGGCAGTTGAGGAAATGGCATCTTCTGGAACTGTTAACCAGGCCGCAGGGAAAGGGTGTTAACAGTGTCAGCGTTTACCACCCCGAAGACCATGGGGCCAGATCCCTATTCACATAAATTCACATAACTCACATAATTTCATAGGAGATTCACCGACCAAATATTTGTTGCACCTACAAGGGGGGCTGAGACCCTGAAGATGGTTGGGAGGGGGAGAATAGGGCCTCAAATCCTTGCCCCTTCTCTTGGCTCACAAGCTGTGTGACCTTGGGTGAAATCCTCATCCTCCTTGATGAACCCTCTATCTACCTCTCAGGATTGTTGGAAAGATCAATAGGGTAACTGGGTCATGGTCCCAGTTCACAGCAGGGCTCTGAAGGTAGGCCTCTTTGGGCATAGGAGGTGCACTTCAAACCCACCCTTCAGGACTGGCTGAGGGCCCAAGCCACTCGCCCACCCACATCCAGGCCAGCAGCTGAGCCAGCTGAGATGCCCAGGGTTCCTGAGACAGGAGCAGAGGGCGAGCCACGCCCCCACCCCAACCAGATCTTAGAATATACTTATTAGCCACGTGTGTTTCTTTGGAGTGTGTGACTTATCTGTTCATGTCCTTCACCAAATTTCTGCTTAGATTTTTCTAATTCATTTTTCAGGATTCTTTTTACAATTTAAAAAAATGTAAACTTCGAGAATACAAAGACCTTGTCATATTTTCTCCTTTTTGTATTCCATGCCTGAAAAAAACACTCTGAAAGAATAAAGATGAGTCTGTTAAAAAAAAATCCACCCTTCAAGTAATTTCAGAAAAGACTGGCTCCCAAACATAGTGAAATGATAACACTAATATCCGACAGTCGCACAGAGCTTTTTCACTTATCAAGGGCTCTGACACATATCTTGGCAAAAGCCCATGGAAGGCCATGGGGCAAGTGGGACATTAGGTGATAGGAGATGGTCGCTCAGCTACTTCAGGGCAGATCCAGAATGGGGACCACTGTTCCTGGCTCCCAAGCCTTGTTCTGTCCCTGGAGATGCTGCTTTCAAACACTTTGCCCTCAAAAGAACCCTTTCTTCAAATAAATATGAGCCTGAAATGAAGCCCAGTAGCTAAAGAGCGCTCCTGCCCTGGCAGGCACCGTAGTACAGCAAAGGTCCTCGGGAGGACACGGGAGGACGCTGCATCCCTCAGCTGCAGCACAGTAGACCCAAGCCTGGACCAGCAACTACAAAGCTCAAAGTCTGAAACAGCAGGGGGACTCCTGAAGTGCAAAACTTCTGTTTAAAAGCCTGACAGCCATAAAGCACCCAACCACAGGAGCAGGAGGAGGGGAACGCAGGATGTGAGTCGCTCTGGTTTGTGATGGGGTTTCCCTGCTGCCTCACGGGCTCCACACCGATTTGCAGGCCACCTTAAATGTCTCCCCAGACCCAGGGGAAAGACAGGTAACCTTGAAGGGCGACCTGGCCAAATGCGAAACACCTTCATCCTCATCTTCACCTGGCAGGTTTGGAAAGATGGAGTGAGGGCTGGTCCCAGGCCAGCGGGCAGGAGCCTGCCTACCTCAGCTCTGAGAGCAGCTCTCCCTTCTCTGGGGAGGCGGATGCAGGCCATCCAGACATCTCTCTGCTCAGCAGGTGGCCTCGCTCCCACTCGGCCGAGCTGGTTTCCCAGGATTCTTCGGCACCAGTGAACTCTGGATGGTAGATGGGGATGCACTGCGACCTGGGAAGCAGGGGTTCTGTGGTTATTGTTGCTGAAATCATAGCATTTCCAAAACAAGATTTCTGCTCAGAGGCTCAGAGGTGAGTGGAGGAGCCACAGCAGCCCACTTGTCAGGACCACAGGGTCAGTGGGCAGGAGAGGGAGGTTCCACAACAATATCACCAAGTTTGTAATGTGCTGGGGACCAGGGGACACTGAACAGGTGGTTCAGGCTTCTGGAAGTTTGTGTGCAGAAAGAAGAGAGGAGGCTAAGGTCTTGGCCAGGGACCTTCCTCCCAGGAGGGAGTGTCTGTAAATTATCCTCCAGGTCAGCTCTGCTTAGGCATTTCCAGAATCAACCAGCTTTGTCCCGAAAAGAACTTTCAACCTTGAGGGAAATAGAATGTTCTTGTGAATCATACATACAGGGTTTCTCAACTTCATCACTATTGATACTTGGGCTGGATTATTCTTTCTGATACGGGCTGTCCTGTACATCGCAGAACATTTAACAGCATCCCTTACTTCTATCCTTAGATGCCAGTAGCACCCCAGCCCCCATGTGACAACCAAAAATGTCTCCAGACAGTGCCAACCTCAGCCCTGTCTGAGAAAGCCCAGCCCAGGGAGGAAGCCTGTCCAAGCTGTGTGTGTGTGTGTGTGTGTGTGTGTGTGTGGGTTTTGTATATCTTGTCAAAGAACTAGCTTGGCTTCACTGATTTTCTCTATTGTTTTTCTGTTTTCTTTTTCATTGATTTCCACTCTAATCTTTACTATTTCCATTTCCCCCTTTTAAATTGCTCTTCTTTTTCTACTTTCTTAAGCTGAGGTCATTGATTTAAGATGTTTCTTCTTTTCTAATTTCTTACTATAAATTTGTCTTTAAGTATTGCTTTAGCTGCATCTTACAAGTTTTCATATTTTGTGTTTTCATTCAGTTCAAACTATTTTCTAATTTCTCTTTTGATTTCTTCTTTGATCTATGGATTGTGTGTGTGTGTGTGTGTGGGTGGGTGGGTGGGTGGGTGTGCATGCGTGCTATGTTGAAAGGGACCCTAGCCAGAAAAACAACCGTCTTTGTGGTAACTAAGACCAAGCAAAACATTTCAGTCAGCCCTTAACTTGGGAGCTGATAGTCATTAATTCCTTGAGGTTAGCAGAAGAATTGAGAGACTGACCATAGGGCTCAGACTGCCTGGAGATGAAATCACCCCCTCTTATGTTGATTGACTTCAGAGGTTGTGCACCTACAGTTAAGGACTGAAAGTAAGTTTCTTGTTTTTCTTACCTCTCTAATCAGCTGCAAACAAGAGGAGATATGAGAGACAGACAAGACAACCTTGCTGATTATAAACTCTCCCTCTTACTTAAAGGAAAATTGCATCCACATTAATTAGAGGTTCAAGTCAAGTATTCCTTTTTTTTTTTTTGTCTTTTTTTTTTTTTCGTGACCGGCAACGGATCGCAACCCTCAGTGTCGCGCCCGTACCGGACCGGGACCGGCTACGGGATTGCAACCCTCGGTGTTGCTCCCGCACCTCGCTCAGCCAGTGAGCAGCCGGTCTGTATGTGGGATCCGAACCCTGGGCGGGAGCGCCGCCACACTTCCCAAGCGGCGCACTGTAGCAGTGCGCCACCAGGCCGGCCCCAAGTCAAGTATTCTTATATTTTATGTTTTTAACTAGAGGTCCGAGTCAGGTTCTAATGAAGTTTGGCTGAGGTTATAATCCTTGAGCTCTCCCTAGTAGATAAGAAGTCCAACCCCAGGATAACATCAAGGGCTTGAAGCTGACCAGTCCGCCAGCCTCAGACTCCATGACAATAAAGTATCCAATCCATCATGGGACACTGACATCTGACTCAGACCATCAGCTGATCTCAGCCTCCCCCTTTTCTTGTAGGACAAAAAACCCTTACCTCAGCCCCTTTTATAAACCCCAGAACAGACATCAGAAGGCAGGATGATTTTAGCCTGGTCTTCCACACATGGCAGTTACCGGAATAAACCTTCCAATCCTTGCACAAACTTTTGTACTTAAGAGTCATTTTTTTAGGCTTCTAGTCAAGATGGCAGAATAGATGGTTCCTAGCATCACTCTCTCCCACAAATCAAACAATTTACAACTATTAAAAAGCAACAACAGTCAAGCTGGGCCTGCTAGAGCCCAGACGAAGAGGAGGAGAGACCCACAGAGTTCATGAAGGCAGGAGAAGCCACGATGAGAGAAAGAAAGGATCACACACACCATTTCGAGCCCCAGCCACTTCAAGGCTGGCCCTGGTGAGCACATGGAGCAAGAGCTGGCAAAAACCACAGCTGTGCCCTTTGGATGAAGTTGCTTGGAGGCAGAAGGGGAGAAGAGGGCCTTGGTGGCCCCCAGGCCACCAACACCACTAATACGGTTCCCGTGGACCCACATAGGAGTGAGGAGCCAGAACAACTGAAAAAAGGAGCCACTCAGTGGCTGGTGAGTCATCATAAGGAACCAGTGTATGGCGCGTCCCATGACAAGTGTTCAGAGTGTGGGCAGTGGGGGAGATGGGCCCACTGGGGGACACTGGGGCACAGCTAGGACAGCTGATCTGCCGCCCACTCAGTGGAGACTGGTCAGGAATATAGAACTGCAGGGGGTGCAGAAAAGACTCAGGTCCAGACCAGAGTTTCCACATGACCCAATTGTACAAGATCTCATGAGACCTGGAAGTATATACAAGGTCAACAATTAAAACCTGAACTGCATAAAAAGCCTTCCCCAGGGAATCAGCAGCAAAGCAGCAATTTAGCTCAACCACAGGTAAAAGTCATTTGTTTAGTGTGAGAGGGCAAGCTGCGCCTGGTCTGCTGGTAACAATGTCATCACTGAAGGCTGATGACAATGATCATCAAGCCCACTTGGAAATTCATAAGCACGGAACACAACCACTGGAGTCATGGACATCTACTACAATGAATTGTCAAGGGTCTGGCAAAGACCAAACAGGTCAGGTAAAAA